ACATACCACTGTGCCATTGGGGGGCATCGACTGACAGTAGACTGCCAATATATTGAACAAGTAGAACTAATTTAGAACTAAAGCAAGACTAACCTATTTGTTTACGCTACAAATAACACTAATAAAATGGCATATTCACAAACTATTTTTATATTCTCAACACTAAGACACTGTAACATCCTTAATTAAAGGACCTAAAGGGTGGAACCATAGGCTGCTACTTCTCTATTGACCTGTGTCACCGAACTCGGGGCAAGAATCAAAGGATTTTGATTACCCTGGAGATTTTGAAATGTTACTTTATTTAATTGCTTCTCAGTAAAGCAGCCTGCCTTAGAAAAGCATTTAACAAGTACATTACAGGTGCATTAGTTCGTACGACTAAACCAAAAATTCAGGACAAAAGCCTTGAATACATAAGTATAAGTATTAAAAAAAACAAGAATTAAAGGCAAGTTAGGTTGTCTAGGTAAGAATGCAAAAAGACATAATTTTCATTTCACTTTATTCGATAAATACTAAATGATTTGTTTATTATGAAAGTCCTTTTGGAACATTTATAAGGCTTTTACACAATCATAAACATTACTGAATGTAATAGTATCGTCATCGTTGTAATATGCATCTTTTAATCAATTTTTAATATTCCTAATGTTCTTTTGCACAAGAGATAGTACTTCAATTATGAGTTCTGAGATCTGTGTGCGTTCCTGTACTGCAGCTTCTTGAAAATGGTGTACAATCAAAACGTTGGGAAATAAATCATTATTTCATCTGAAGTCCAAAGTCATCCAATAACTCAAACATGTTAAAAATACTTCAGGTCAGCTACAATAACTACAAACTAAAAAAAAAAACGCAAGTGAATGGTTACATGTATTTATCTAAATAATGAAATTAGCATGTTGTTTCGTATTTGGTCTTTTTTCATCGTGGAATTAGTTTCACATGTGGGTTATTCAGCTTGTTTACCAACTTGAATCACTGTCCTATTTTCGCCTTATAAATTCATTATAATTCTATCTGCATTTTGATATTGTTAATTAGATGATATTTCACTTATATATTTTAATTTACATACAATAAAAAATCTTGTTGCGACTATCTTTATGTGTGTATTTGGTATTTTTTCCATGACTAGTCTCTTGTGTAAATAAGTTCTTTAATATTTCTTTGTATTCTTACATGCTTTCAACCTTTTTCTGTAAGGTTTTGGTAATTTACGTTTATCCCCAATGTTATAGAAAATAATTTAGATTTTTTTCTCAAATTATTTTGATTATTAAACGCTTATTTTGTAAATTTTATAGCGTTTAATAGATTATCTTATAGTTATATTTGATTTCATTTCACAGAATTTTCCCAGAATTATGTTCTATACTATTTTCACTTCCTTAGGTTCTTAAAATAGTGATCTGAAAGTTTGTATGGTCAATATATGTTTGTTTGTGTGGTCAATACATGTTTGTTTCTGTGGTCAATACATGTTTTCCTTTTTCTTCTTATTTCTAATATTTCCTCTTATATATTCTGTAGTATGTATATAATAAATTAAATACAAATTTAAGTGGCATGCTTCAGATATTTACGCAAAGCTACACAAGGACTACCTGCGTTAGCCGTCCCTAATTTTGAACTGATAAACTAGAGGGAAAGCAGCTAGTCAACAACACCCTCATGGGCTACCCTAAGAAATAGTGGGATTTGACCTCTACTCTTATACTTACCCATGGACCTAAAGCGAGAGCGCGATTTTGCGGCAAAAGGACACGAAAGATGGGCCCTCGGATTCACAGTCCTGTCTACTAACCACTAGGCCTTTTATATGAATAGTTATGTACTGTAAAGTTATGAGTATTTTTTTAATCGCCAAGTTTATATATCTGCAACAAATAACATGTTTTCTTTTATATGTTCACATGCTTACAATCATGTTTTTAAAGTATTATCAAAATTTTGCCTATCTGTAGTCGAGACCAAAATATTGCTAATGTGCTCAATGTCATGAGTTTATTTTATATTAGCGTATGTAAAGGCTCTTCTGGATTCATACTGTCATTACTTCGTACACAGTTGAAGTTATTTGTATAAAAATGATAATTTTTCTTTGTTTCATTTAAATTATATTGTACCATTATTATAAATTTTGGAAATATTCGAATCATTATAAAAATCGGTTTATACTTTCTAATGTTGTTAACAAATTTTCAAATCATGCAAATCATCTAAAACATTGTTTCAAATAGATCTGGCGTAGTCTAGTAGTAAATGTGACGGGCTGAATATCGAAAGATCTAAGATTTGCGCTGCAATGCTGCTAAGCACTTCCCGCTCTTTCAGATGAGGGAATGTTAAAAGTTTGACTACATTCTCGCTGTTTGGTTCAAAGCCAGAGAAAGGTCTTGTGGCAGCTGTTGCTGCAGACTGATTGCCTTCTCCGTTCTCAGTGACACAGAAATAGGGATGACCATCTAAAGTTCAGAAGCCTCTGATTTGGCGGTTTCGCTAATTAAGCATAAAGTGTCATTCAGGTTGAAAATATTAAATGCTATCATTTAAAACCATTTGTAATTCATCCCAGTACCTTTTTAAGCTTCAGATATTTACGTTTAATATTTAAACTGAAACCTTAATTTATGTAAGCTCTGTGGACATTTTTAATAAGTCTTTCAAGTTAAACACAATCTGTTGATCCAATTCTTTCTTATTCACTATTTTCACGAAGGATTTGCCGTCTTTATACTGAAAACGTTTATTCATATATATACTTTCTTTCGCGAATGTAATACTTCACAGAATAACTCCTTGTTTAGTCAACCTGAGTCGTCATTTATATATATATATTTTTTCCCAGTTTGCCCCTGAAGAAGAAAGGTCCACCTTTCGAAAGCGCTCGTGTTATAGAGTTTTTTATTCATTTCCATCTTTTCTTTGTGTAGTCTTTTAATTCTTCAGTAGATGGAACATATTTTTTTCTTGACAATCATATTTGTGTTTCATGATGCAGTTGGTAATAGGTTAATGTGTGTATATAGATGTATAGACATATATATTTAACAATTACTTGAGCCTAACGTTCGTGTCCAATTACCGCTAAATAGAATGTCACGTTGCTTTCCATTTTTTGGGGCTCAAAGTGCGTTATGAGGATGACAGTCAAATCCATTTATTCTGTCAGACAAGTGTAGCCCAAGAGTTGGCGGTAGATCCTGTTGAGTAGCTGTTTTCTCTCTAATCAATTAGTTCAAATTACGGACGATTAGTACATATACCCTTTGAACAGCTTTGCGCGAACTTTTGAAAACACAGCTACTTTAGATGTTTAACTATCACCACCTAATGTGAGAAAAGATGAGCAGTCGTTCAGGTTTGTTATAGCCGTGTGTGTTAAGTACGTTTTCCTCAAAGTGTATAATCACAGAATTCAAAGCTCTGTTATATATCTGTAATAATTTGTTTCTGGAAAGCACTGGGAAAGAAAATGTTATTTTTTTCGATTATTTTATAAATAAGTTTATAGTAACGGTGCCAAAGAAAAACGTGAATATGGCATATCCTCTAAAAAATATTATATGTATTATAAAGAAATACATCGTAAGTTATCAATCGTGTTTGGTGTATTTTCGGAGTATCATCAGATGGTAGGAAAAATCAAAGAGAATTTAATAAAAAATTATGCACATTATTTTCATATGAATAAGTTAAAAGTATGTTTGTAATAGAATTTCATAAAATATCATTACTTTATCTTACTCTGGTTGTTTTTGAATTAATATTTGCTTTTCCCTTCAAAAATACCTTTTTGTTCGAATATATTAGTAATATATAATTGGTTACTCTAAGGTAGTTATTTGAATTTTGTACCGGTTATTCATAGGTATAAAACACAGGAAACAGAAGTTATTAATAATTCTAATTTATGATGCTTTAAATTTTTTCTTGAAATATATTATGCTAAAATTGTTTATTTTTGTGTATTCCGTTTCTGAATACAAATAGTTTATTTTACACCCAACACCTCATATACCTTGGTTAACTTGCGTATGTAACCAAAATAATGCTCTTCAGTCAGTAATAATAACAATATTTTAGAACATCCTGTATAATTTAAGTCTTAATATTAGTAGAAACGTTTTAAGCGGATGACATCATGAGCACGTGTGTAGTTTTCCAATGGGGGACAATGTTACTTGCCTAAGTCTAAACCTAAGACATAGATAAGAGATCAGTATTATGCTTAGTAAATATTTGCATATCATTGTACATGGAATAATAAATAGGGCTTTCATATTATGTTTTTAATTAATTCTGAATATCACTGAAATGTAATGAATTTATACATTTTACATCCACTCAGAATCAATTGTTTGTATTAGGTGAATTCGATCGTCCAGGATATTTGTGAAGAGAAAGTTAAGTATTTTTTAAGTTTCCTGGTGCTATGTTTAATGTGTTAAGCATGTTTTTATCGAATTAAACTTTAATTACTACTAACTCAAGAAACAATATATTTATTGACATCATCGTTTCGATATTCACCTATATTAGGAAGTCTTTATTCCTGTTCTTACACATCATGGAGTCCAACTGATTCAGTTAGAGAACAGACAGAATAAAAGAAAAACTTATTTGCAAACAGTATGCACATATTTATCAATATGTTCCTTAACCAAATCAATTGAATTTTGTGATGTCTCAGGATCAGAGTAAAGACATCCTAATCATGGTCTGATTTGTAAAAAATCTTCATGATGTCAAACTAGAAGTGATTCATGTCACCTTCAAAATCCACGCAATAATCTTGAGTAGATCAACTAACTGTATTTCAGGTTTAGTGACGTTCCGCTTTAAACAAGAATCTGCATATTTTCCCGTCAGCAGCACAAAGGCTTGGGAGCCACAGACCAAGAAGAGGAATTAAATGACATCGACGTTCGAGTTTCGAATAAGACGCCCCCTTCTGCTGACCATCAACAGGACCAGGTGAATATTATGCCCCGTTCCAGTCTTAACAACGCTTCACCTTTAATTACAACAATGAAAACTCCGTCAGATGGCGATGATATTACCACTACTGCTGTTGCTATGCCAACATATATACCAAATCCAGAGGCAGTTGCCATGTTGTCAGCAGAATCATCCCAGTCTCAAGAAAGCATAAGAACAGGACCTATCGTGCGTATTTCTACCCTTTAACAAAAAGCGACTGTCTAAAAGATTAGGCTGCGCTTGTTTCTATACTATATATCAGTGCGTATGATAAGAAGACGCATGGTGTTGTAAATTTAAATCTTCTTCTTCCTATAGAGACTTTTGTGGGATTGTACAAATTTATGCTGGCTTATTTTAGCCAAAATACTTCCAGTATGTTATAGTTCAGGGCTGTAGGTTTTATCTTTGCAATTCTCATATAAACTATGGTTGTGATAATTAACGTTCCACTAGCTAAATTCGAATTGATTGTCATCAAAACAGATGCACTGGTTTAATGCAACAATATTGCAAAGAAGTTAATGATAAGAGAAATGTTTTTTATCTCACCCATTGGATTTTCAGAGAGATTAAACTGTATTGAAGTTAGTGTTGGATTATCCTGAAGTAATATAGTAAATTATATTTGTGTTGATAGGAAAACACCTAGATTTAATAATCAATTAAACACAAAAATATGAAACCCTATAACCTGATTGCTTTTGAAAGGTGGACATTTCTTCTTCAGGGGCAAACAATTTCTTTCTTATGAAGAAAGATCCATCTTTCGAAAGCGCTTGGGTTATATACAGAGTTTCATATTTTTGTCCTCGTAAACTATAGATGAGGAAAGAAACTATTAGTAGTTGAGTATATGACCTTTTTATTTGGTTAAATAAAGTGGAACTCCGTTTATCCGCATACTTCGAAACAACGGCCCACGGATATGTGAAAAATCGCGGATATACGAGATGTAATTGTGTGTGTGTGACAAGAATACATCAATAAAATACAGAAAACAGTAATATAAACCAAAACAACGTTAATTGAAAACGTCTGAAATATTTGCAATGACCGAAGAATGCTTTAAAATAAATTTACTTTCACATTACTCCATTCCATTAAAAAAAAAACGTACCTACAAAAAAAAACCGAGTGTTTTTCATAACAGCTTTTTAAAACAGAAAGAAGTCTCGTCTTCTATTGTGCGCTTTTTGTGATGCGTACGCGGATAATGGAATTGAGCATGGATAAATGTAGTTCTACCTATAAATGACAATTGTGATAAATATTGTTCAGGTCATTGGCAGTTATGAGGCAGCTACTTCATCGATGATATGTTAAAGAAACTCTTCTTTGAAGCGCAATGTAATTAAATAAAATGATAAAATTTCTATTTAGAAGCTGGAACTTGAATAGCCCTGGCACTCCAATGACACAGAATGATTACCTATAGGCATACCGTTATGTACAGCTCCATATATAGAGTGTCTATAAATGTTTATTATGTTATATAGTCATATCAATGTCATATCAGTTATAACCTCCTCACCTCTTTCTCCTTTCCACCTTTTTCCCCTCACATCGTTGTGGAAATGTACATAAGCAGTATATATGTTTTGGAGAATCATTTATCTTTCACTGATATCAGCTTTGAATGGATGCATCTAGATTGTATTATTTTTACTCAGATATATTTTGGATCTGTGTAATGTAACTTTACGAACGACCCATTGAAACCTCAACCATTTTTAGAAGAAATTAAATGTGAGCAGAACACTTAACGGTTGAAGTAAAATGCATAATATCCAAGGTCTTTAAACGTGTCGAAAAATAATAAAAACGAAGAACTGAGCGCGATTACTGGACAACATCCTGATTTTCCCTAGTTTCGAACTCTAGAAACATTTGGTAGAATAAATTTCTACTGAGAGGGCCTATTTTAAATCTTTATGACTTTTATGGAATTCGTTTTTGTAGCCTTACCAACTTCCTTTAATTGTTCTGTTTTGATTTCTTCAACTAGTGACGACATTTAAATATTAGAAAATATAAAATATCTATAATCTGAAATAATACATAGACCATACTTTCTGGAACTATTATTAAGCGAAATGTGGTGTAAATTCAAAAACCGTCAATTGAGCGTACATCCTAAAATATCTTAAAATATGTGGTAATGACGCAATCTATTTTCATGCAATTATTGATACTTATTACAATTTCTAATTACATAAATAGTAGTATTTATACAGTGGAAGTTAAAATTATTTCAAGAATGATGTATTACAACGTAAGATAGCTGTAGTGGGGATTACTTGTTGAAACTATGATGTCATTTTAATGTCAATAACTGTTATCTTTCAAAGATAAGACCCCAGGTGGGTCAGCATTAAGTTTATTGACTTAGAACACTAAAATCCGAGGTTCAATTCCCCGCAGTGGATAAAGCGCCGACAGCCCATTGTGAACTTTGCACTAAATATACAACACTGAAATATAATTATCAGAAAATATTTCTCGATAAATAACATGCCTAAACGTTTGTTTACTTCACTGAACTAAATTAAAACATACTATATTTTACAAACTTTACGAAAAGAAATATTACAATTATAATGTAAAAAGTACACATACACACATATATACGTATAACATATATTTTGTTTCTAAGGTACATCAGCCTTTATGTAACATTTTTATTGTTGTTTTTTCTTACTTTTATCCATATTTATATTGTGCCCTAGCGAAATACCTCGGGTGATAACGTCTTCTTTTTTAATGTCTTAGATACTTTATATTTCAACTGTATCTTAGTCAAGTTTTTACGAACTGGTTATTAATATTTAGGGAGATATATGTAGCAATCGCATAACAACTATTGAATGTTTGTGCTGTAATAGGTATGACAATTATTATTTCTTAAATTAAACTGGTATGCTTAGAAAACAATTTTGTGATCTATTTATCTTATTAGGTTTGTCAAAAATCAATAATTGACATTTATTGTTACAATGTTTAAGGGGCGTAAAAGATTCATTAATGTGTAATTACGTATTTGCTAATCGCCTTAAATAATGAGAAGTGAATTGTAAAATGTCTTTATGCTCCTCCCGTAATGTTTTGGACACCATGTTGCAAGAGAGAATAATAATAAATTATTGATACATTGGGGGGAAACAAAAAGTCAGAGAAAAATAATATTTGTGAGTAGAAAATAAAAACCAATTATTAGTATAATTTACTTACAGTATTTTGCAGAGTTAAAATAGCATATCCACGTGAAAATCAATTCTAAATCTCGTAATGTACCGTCTTATGCGAAGCTAACTAGAGACTGATGTAAGAAGTTTGTTAAATTTTCCAATGACGCGATTGATACATATTTGATGCATTTTAGACCTACGTAATTTCATAATGCCTTGAATGGTGCTTAAAATCATATAATTAAAATAGGTTTACATGTATGTCTCTATTTTTGTTTGTATTAATATAAGTATTTTTTTTTCTGAGTTCCGAAAGAAACTATAATTACTAGTATTTATATTTAGGGCTACCGTTCGAGTTGTTGTGGTGTCATTCAGTTATGACAGCCTGTGACTGAGAAGTATTTGAGGAAAGCCACACCTATTTCATGTGAAGCAACATATCTTTATCCGTGCTTATTTCTAAGAAATATCTTTTAACCATGCTTTAAATCATACCGTCTCAGATTGGCCCAAAGTGATATATAGAGAGTGATATGATCTCCAAACTTTTACTTCATATCGCAGTAACATAAATCATACCGTCTCAGATTGGCCCAAAGTGATATATAGAGAGTGATATGATCTCCAAACTTTTACTTCATATCTCAGTAACATAAATCAATGCTATGTTATTCGAAAATGACAAATAATAGGACTTTCAATTTATAAAATTGTGGCCCTGATTATAAGTTTTAAAAATCAATCAAGCTCTGTCTTCTAACAATGAATCTCACCAAAGAGTAACAAATGCTACAGAAATGTAGTGTTTAGTATAGTCATTAAAACGTTTAAAGTATAATGAATGTTATGTTCATTTGCATACATATTACTGCTATATGGTTGGTAAGTATTAGGGTATTTACTGAACACCAGTTATTACTGCTAGATAGTGTAAGTACTGTTGAAATGTACTGAACATGGACTATGGGTTTTCAAAATATACACTTCTGCTGATGATTGGCTTGTCACTTGTTTCCTGAGTACGTATTATTGCAGGCTGATGGATAACTATTTTAAGTGTTTACTATTCTTGCATTATTGCTAAGAATGGGTAAGTGTTACAGGCATTTACTTCTTTTGTACAATGGATAATAATTTCAGGATTTCTCTGAACATTCACTTCTGTTGAACGATGGGTAAGTATGAAAAATGTTTTCTGAACACACATTTCTGTTCAACAATGTGTAACTATTGTTGGTGTTTTCTGAACACACTCTTCTGTTCAACAATGTGTAACTATTGTTGATGTTTTCTGAACACTCACTTCTGTTCAACAATGGATAACTATTGTAGATGTTTATTGAACATGAACTCTCCTAAAATATTTATGTTATCTGGGATGAAATGTACTACTAGTCAGTGTATGGACATTACGTGAAGCTAATCTGTTTCTAACTACAACGAACAACTACAGAACGATGCTACTGTAAATTACTACTTTTGGCTATATCTTAAAACCTATGCTTATGAATTTCATCAGAGTATTTATGGTATGATAATGTTTCTCCCAATCTTCATTTATAGGCTCTTAATTTAAGTAGCTTAATTTTCTGTTTTGTTGTGATCTGTTATTCCCTCATACATTTGTTTGGTTAAAGCAAAATAAAGGTGTATTTTATATTGTTCGGTTTTGTAGTTAACTATAGGAGATAGTTCCTCCAAACGTTTTATGTTACTAAATGCAGCAAGTCGTCTTTCAGGAAACAGAAGTATTTACACCATAACCATCTCTAGTAACCATGTTCAATATCGGATACTGCTTATAGATGTATTTACACCATAACCATCTCTAGTAACCATGTT